CAAATGGTTGTGGCACTTGACTTTGGGGCCAAGAGCCAGTTTAAGACGTGGCAGTTACCTTGCTGTTTGGCTTAGGAACATAACTTTATGTTTCTGGATACTAGTTCACTCATCAGAAGAAAAGGGTGGGTTAGAGAGCAGGGTTCTTAGTTACTTTTAAGAATCTCTGGAAGGTAGTCACACCCCAAATGTGTCTGCCATGCCCAGAGGAAATTTAAGAATACGTGCACTTCACTGGGGACTGCAGACGCGAGGCCACCCGGAGGCCTGCGGGCCGGGCCTGTGGCCAGCCGATGCGCCCGCCCTCGGACGGGATGGTCTGTGGAAAGGAGCACGACGCTGCGGCTGAATGATCCACATTTACAGGTGGGATTGGCCCGATCCCAGTTTGTTAGCTTAACACCTGGTCGTACAACCCTCAGCTGAAGGATGAGGCCCAAACCCGGCCCCACCACTGCTCTTTGTGTTCCCTCGGCCTCAGGACTCCGCCCCCAGAGCCAGTGACATGGTCCCACTGTGCTTGGAGTTCTTTAACATTTGTAAGCCTCAACGTCTTCATCTCTTAACACAAAAATCATAGCATGTAGTTCATAAAATGCTGGGAAAATGAAAAGAAATAATACATTTTCAAACTTCACCCGCTCTCTGGTGGAAGGTCCGTGTTAGCTGTCATCACCATCTTCAACATCCTCACAGCATCAGCACCATGGTCGTCATCCCCGTCAGACCCCGGGGCTCTTTCAGGAGCCGCTCAAAGCTCACTCCATGTGCCTGCTTTATTTAAGAATAAGCCAATCCTGCCCTAGCAGTGTGGCTCAGTGGATAGAGCATAGAGCGTCGGCCTGCGGACTGAAGGGTCCCAGGTTTGATTCCGGTCAAGGGTACATACCTTGGTTGCAGGCACATCCCCGGCTCTGGTCAGGGCACGTGTGGGAGGCAACCAGTCGATGTGCCTCTCTCACATCAATGTTTCCCTCTCTCCGTTGCTCCTCCTCCGTAAAAATCAATGGAAAAGTATCCTTGCATGAGGATTAACAAAAATACATAATGAAGCCAATCCTAGCGGCAGTGCTCCTCGACCCCAGGTCTTGTTGACGTGCAGATGGCTCTGACTCGCCAGGTCGGTGGAGCCTGAGACTTGGCACTTCCCACGGTGATGTCCGTGCTGCAAGGCTGCAGGCGAGGTGTTCTTGTTTAGGAGCAAAGAAGAGGTCAGTGCAAAGCTGTGGATGACCCTGCACTTCCTAGCGCTTCTATTCCCCCGAGCATTTCCCTCAATGTCTGGAAGAGGCAGAATTTGAAGCTGACCCCGTGGCTTGGCTAAGCCCCTCCCCTTGAGCGAGGGTGGGTGTATGACTAGGATGGGCTGTCACGTGCTTGACCAGGTCACCTGCTGGGGCAAGGGGAAGGAATTCTGCAGGTGTAATTTAGGTCCCCAGGCGGTTGATTTGACATTAATAAAAGGAAGACCATCTGGGTGTGTGTGAGCAGCCAGTGGACTCCATAGATGAAGGCCTAGAGGTCAGAGTCGAGAGACCGGAGATGTGAAGCAGCATCTGGTGTCCTGTTGAGCGGGAGGCGACAGCTGGCCGCGTGGGGAGCCCTGGGGCAGGAAGTGGCGACCTCCAGGTAGATGACAGCACAGAGCTCTGTCAGCAGCGTGCGCACTTGGAAAAGGACCCTGAGGCTGATGTCAGTCTGAGTCCAACCCCATCCAAGCTGAGGCCAGACGCCTTCCCCCAGCAATGTGAGCTCAGCGGTGGGTGTGGTGTGAAGCCACTGAGTGAGTGGCAGTTGACTACACAGCAATAGAAAACGCGCCTGAGGCCCAGCTCTGCCCTTTGACCTCTGTGCATGCCAGTCCGTTATCCTGCAGTGATCACCTCAGTAGCTCAGTAGATCACAGTGGTTGGCTCATGCTCCGTGTTGCCAGCGGTCAGCGTGCCAGGCTGATGGCGCTGGGGCCTTACGAGGCTGGTGCCAGAAGACAGCCTGCAGGGCTCTGCCGGCCTTGGCGGCTGTGACATGTGTGCTGTCCCGGGCAGCAGGAAGCAGTGCGTGGGCCGTGGATAGAGAGGGCCTCAGCCTCCTGGCAGCACGGCCTGCCACCCTGTGTGACAAACAAGGCTCAGGGCTCACGGTGGCCGCAGAACGGGCTGGGGGAGGGCGCCAGGAGAGAAGTGGCTCGGCCTGATCACCGTCATGTGGCCATGCCGCATGTGCAGAGAAATGGACTCCTGTGTGTGCCCCAAACAGGAGAGTTCCAGATATTGGTGAACACGATTCTCCACCACTTCGCGTGGCTCAGAGGTCGGTTGAGGGCCAGGGGATCAGCCTGGCTCTCAGATGGCCAGGGCCAGGGAGCTGTTCTGACCACCAGCGAGCAGGGTGGCTGGCGTGGGAGAGCTGAGAGAAGCCCGAAGGAGGGAACGCGGCCTTGCCCAGGCCCGGGTAGAGCACATGTTTTCTTGGCAGGGCTTTCTGGGGTGGTGGAAACCCAGGAAGCTTAGGCTGTCTTCAGGCCAAAGACAGCCTCCCTGCAGCACGGGGTTCCCCACCCAGTGCAGATCCAACTCAGGGGGCTTCTATCTTTTATTTTTGTGCGTGAGCTTGACTTCTCTCTCATGGCCACACCGGACACAGGACAGGGGATGCTGCTGCCTCTGTGGCCCTCGGTGGCCAGGCCATTCCGGTGGGCATGTCACCCGGAGAGTAAAGATGACCTGCTGGTGTAAAAAGAAATGCCATCTGCTTGGTGCTGTAACACTTTTGGAAGGAAATGTTAGTGAGCTGTATGTAGTATGGTCAAAATTTATACTCACTGCGGATCAAAGGCACAGAGTTACCTTGACTAACTCTTCTAATAAGAGTCTCCTGAGGCCCCTTGTCATCAGGAAAAAGGAGTTAAACCTACCAGTACACGCTGCCCCCTCTTGATGGGCTCAGTTGGCCTCTCTCGGAACTGCTATCTCTTCCGGGGAGAAGTTCGGTCTTTCAGTTTCTCACCTCTCACCCTCTTCCAGCCAGGAAGGCACCTGAGCACAGGGGAGGCTGTGTCCCCAGGCGTGAGGGGCGGTGGCTAGTCCCCTGCTGGCCTGCAGGTCATCCCTGGCCCCCACGGAGAGGCCCCTGGACCTGGCCATCGTGGGTGTTGGAATCTGCTGCTGGGAAAACCCATCGTCTGCCTTTCGGCCCAGTCAGAGCCAATGACGTGGCCCATGCCACATGGTCCCACGGTGCCTCCTGTGGCTCCACAGGCCCTCACATCTTGGCTGTGCCATCATTTCTCCCGCATGGACTGGCGACCGGTGCCAGTGATACTCAAAATGTTTACCAGCCGCAGGTGAAGCGCTGCCCATCAGCACAGGGGCCACGCGGACCACGGGGAGCAGGGCGCAGGGTGGCGGAGGGTGGAGAGTCAGGCCTATGTGGCTATTCACCAGCCGGTAAGCATGGTTCCAGTCGGCCGCACGGCTCCTTGCCGACTGCATGCCCTCAGCCTCAGCTCCGGGGGTCTCGCTCCTCATCACCAGGCCGGTCTCCTGCACGGGAGGCCCAGGGGAGCAGCTGGACCCTCTCCTAGCTGGCGAAGGCCCGAGGCTAGCAGGGAGCTACTCAGACCCTTTCCCTCCCTCGCCATGCCGCCTTGCCCTCCTCCCTCATGGCCCTGGCTCACGGCTCCTGTTTGCTGCAGCGGGATCCCGAGAGAGCACACCGGGAGCAGGAGAAAGCACCTCTGCCGCCAGCGCCTCCTCTTCTACTTTTGCAGTTTCTGAGCCCAGAAGAGGGAGAAGCATCTGCCCGCGTCCTCTCGCGTCTTCCCTCCTTCACCCTGGAGCCCAGAGCCTTCTCCTCGACTCCCTTCCTGCCGGGAATGGACCCCACATCCATCCACTTCCTCCCTCCTTCTGGCTGCGCTCTCCCTTCCTGGGGCAGAAGCAGCGGAGCTAGTGAAGGTGCTGTCACATTATTACCTCATGGCCAGTGCCGACACTGTCCCATCCTAGGCGCAGGCTTCTGGACAGAAGTTCCTCTGCTCTCCATGGCTCGAGGCTCCTTACACACCAGCTGTCTGTGCCGACACGCTGACCCCCCCACCCCTGGAGGGCACCGTGAGGAGGCGGCCCTCTGTGTCTGCTCTGAAGGCCTGAACTCCGTGGCCTTCGGCTCTTGCATCTGTCCTTGCAGTTTTCCTGTCTCCCTGTTACTGTCCATCGGTGGCCTCTTCTCTGTGTTTCTTCGCCAGTCCTGTCCCGGCTCCCATTTGCTGCCTCGAATCTGCTCCGGATTGAGCATTTCTGGTCGCCCATCGCGCATAACAATGTCTGCTCAAGTGAGTCGCTTAAACACACCTTTATTCTAACTCACATTTTCTGTATGTCATGAATTTGCGGGGGCTCAGCTGGGTGACCCGTGGTGCAGGGTCCCGCTGAGTTCAAACAGTGGTTCTCGGCAGGCAGTCTGCTGGCGGCACTGCTGGTGCCTCTGGGGGGCGCCCTGGGGGCTGTGTGAGAGCAGGGAGTCCCTCACAGCACGCCCCAGTTCCCTTCACAAGTGGCTGGTTCTCTGGGGCAAGGGCCCCAGGGAAGGCAGGCGAAGCTGCGTGGCTGCTCTGATGTCGCCCTGGCTTCACCGGCCTCCCTCTGCGGGACTCAGGTCCCAGGCTGGCCTGCATTCGGGGAGTGAGCGGGCCCGTGGGTGATGGGCGCGGGCACAGGTGGGTGGCCACGTGGGCCGGGACTGCTGCTGCGGCATCTGTAGAAGCCGGTGAGCCATGCCCACGCGGACGGGGAAGAGGCTCTGAGAGGGCTCTGAGCACACACACCTGGACCTGCTGGTTAGATCTGGCCGGCGGTTTAGAGCTTGGTCCTTGCCTCTTCTGACTGTGGCAGTTCAATGAGCAAGTTCTGTGGCTCATGGATAATTCAGATGTCTGAGGTGTTTGCCACTCCGATTGCAGGGGCTGAGGCATCTCGGCTGCGGGTGTCACCTGTTCCCGCCCCTGTCCCTACCAGCGCCCAGCCCAGTGACTAATCAGTGTCACCCAGTGAGCAGCCCAAGCAGCTGCAAGATGGGCACTTAGGAGAATCAGGGCCTGGAGTCCTGCTCTGCCTTTGCTACCTGGGGATGTGAGTGAGTGGGGGACCCATTGGAGGTTACCCGATGAAGCCCCAACTCGGGGCTTTGGAAATGACAGCGGTGCTCAGGGCTCAGACGAAGCTCACGTCCAGGCTGGAGCAGAGGGCTGTGCACCTGAAGGTGTAGTGACTCTCAGCAGCCCAACCCCTGCCTTTTAGAGATGAAGAAACTGTGACCCAGATTGGTAAATGCCTCTGTGGCTTGCCCGGCTCAGAGTCAGCTCACAGCAAGCAGGGCATCAGCCGCAGTCTCCTGTTCTGCGTCGTCTGAATGAAAGCATCCGCATTCCGTGGTAGGCTGTGTGTGTGTGTGTGTGTGTGTGTGTGTGTGTGTTTACATGTTGAACATCTTTAATAATAAAAGTGTAATATGCTAATTAGACTGGACATCCTTCCAGACGTCCTTCCGTCCTTCCTTCTGGACAAAGCTGTGGTGGCGGGGGCCAAGGCCTTGCACGAATTTCGTGCCTCGGGCCTCTAGTCCTTCATAACATGGATGTTCACATCGGCTGTGGTTCCATTAGGTAAAGTTGCCCACTTTCTAGTGTAGTGCCTGGTGTTTGCTGAGTTGTTGACTGTAGCAGGGAGCTCTGGGTGTGTGATGGCCCCCTGCAGGAGTTAGTCCGACGCAGGCTGGGTGCTCTGATGCCTCCTTGGGGTCTGCTAGCTGTGCTTCTGAGTAAGTTACTCCGCCTGCGTTCTGGGGCCTCTTCTGGAACATGCTGCTGAGGGCAAACACTTGTCAAGTGCTTTCTCCTGCCGACTCGGCATACACCCCTTTATTCATCACATGCCACCTTCCCTCCTGATGCACGTCAGGCCACAGCCACGTCAGGGATCAGCAGCCTGGGCCTCGCAGAGGTCGCATAGTCTGCCTGCTGGCACTGACCCATCCGGCCGCCACGGAGACAGCGGGCCCTCCCGACCACTCCGCCAGACCCTCCGGTCCACCTTCTTCCCAGAGCGCTCCCTGTGCAGGTTCCCTAGGGCTCAGGGCTCCACAACATGTGGACTTCTGAGCCGGCCTGGGGTGGAAGCTGACCAAGAAGTAGGGCTCACGTGAAGGAAATTTTGTATTTCAAAAGGACAGAGAAGTTCCTGACCCGAGTACTCCTGGAGACTTGGAACAGTCCATCTTAAGAGGGTGGCTTGGCCATGTGGAGGATGTGGGCTCGGGAAGACTGTCTGGGGGGGGGGGGGGGGCTCATTGCCGAACAGAGGATGAGTATGAAGGCAGGACCGCGTAGGCTCAGGCTTGCATCTGGCTGTCACTCCATCAGCCCTGTGGCTCGGCTAAGTTAATGGAGGTATCTGAGTCTAGTTCCATGCCTTCCTGTTTGTATCGAGGGCGCGTGCTCACTGGACACTGAGCTCAGCGGCGAATCCCTCTTACGCATACAGGCCGGCACCTGGAGCTTGCTGGCTGTGCGTGGTGGGTGCCCAGGGCCTCCCGGTGCCAAGAGTGCCCACCTCAGCACTTGGGGGTCCGGGGGGTGGGGGTGAGGAGGGGGTCTTGTCGGGCTTAGCCTGTGGGCAGGCTGATGGAGAAGAAAGTTTGTAAAAATGGGTCTTTGTTTGATGGTCCAGCTCAGAGGCTCTGAATAACTCCGCTTCCACGGGAACCCAGTGTGTGAGCAGAGGATGTGAAGGAGTTGGAAGATGAGCTGTTTTCTTGAAGCTCTTAGTCAGTGGTTTTAGGGAAGAAGTTGGTCGAGTTCAGATTTGGCAGGGATGGCTTTAGGGAGTAAGGGACTTGTTGGCAGAAAGTAAAATATAGAGTGTAGCCCTTGGGGGAGCCCAGTCTCAACCTGTCCAGGTTTTCCCTTGAGTCACTGTGTCAGCTCTGCCAGAGTCAGGGCCCCCCGAGACGCTGCCTTTCGGCCCCGGCCACGCAAACCAGAGAGAGCCCACGGTGCTGCTCCGCACGCCCTTCGTCCTGGGGTGGGCGGGAGCTGGCTCCTATCTTTTTTAAAGAACAAAAATAGTTTATAGATGACTCATTAAGAGTTCTGCTTTGAGCCAGGACAATTGTCAACAAAAGCTGCCTCAAAGTGGTCATATCTTTCTCTAGAGCAGGGGTGGGGAATGTCCGGCCCGCGGGCCATATAAGTCCCAGCAATCATTTGGTCTGGCCCTGCCAAGGCAACCACAGATGGGACTCTAAATTCAATAAATGCAGGAG